AAAGGGAGGTGGTTACAATGCTCCATTTACTAAAAATATGGATACTTTGATGCATCTTGTAATATAGTAAAGAAATTTTATACTAATTTCTATTTTGAATAATATTAATTTAAATTTATTAATATTGCACTTAAATTTTTTTTTTTAGATTGGAGAGGCGGGGAGGGGGTGATGATCTTGCTACCAGATCATTTGGCAATGATCTGGTAGCAAGTTATAACAATTTCTTGTATATAAAAATTACAAATTTCATTAAAATAAGCTTGTTTTATTTTAAAAAATGAATTTTTCGACTGTGTAGGTGGTGGTTCGGTGCCCCCTCTAGCCCCCTGAATACGCCCTGTTGGTTAAAACTATTATAAATTTGTAGCCCACTCTTACACCTTTCTTTTGATACCAAGTTATAGACGTTTTGATAAGAACTGACAAAATTATAACAATTTACGCAAAGAAAAACTTAATTTTGACCACAGTTTCTTCAACAAATCCATATATCGAAAAATCGGTACTTAAACTGTCATAACTTTTGAACGAATGGTTCGATTTTGATAATTTTTTCACTATTAAAATACTATACTAAAGCTCTTTCCAATGATATATAACAATCTAGTAATTAATCAATTCAAATTTTTTTGTAACATACCTACTTGTATCTGTTTACAAGATGTTGATTTTGGGAGTGAAATACTTTTAATTCAAGATGTGAAACGGTATAATTGGATATATTGACTTCGTGGCCTATAGTAAATTCTGTTTTAAGAAAGAATATATATTGCAACATTAATATAGGATGATACACGCTGGACACGTAAATTTAGTCCCGTCGCAAGGTATAATCTAACGATGCATAATGTATGTAAATATGAACCATTTATGGTATATTGACATAATATGATACAACTTTATTTATAAGCAAAGTTATTTATATAAACTTTCGTCAGTCGGGTTTTGAGCAAATATTACTATTTAATAAATAAGCTAAATCGGGTATTGAATTTTTTTATTTAGACACTTACTTAAATATTTGTACTTAGGTACTTGTAATATCCAAATTATACGCACTTCATATTGAAATAAAAAAACACTGTTACATATTCCTTGGTATTAGCATTTGAGTTTCATCTACCTCAGCATTTGCTTTTAATTTACTTTTAATTTGTATTTAGCACTCTTTATATTACAAATACGTTTACCGCACTATTTGAAGTTTTTTATTCAGGTCTCCATTTAGTGTCCTTTCAAGCTTAAATAATTTCTTCTTTTCGGTTAACAACTTTGAAACTAATTCTACCTTGCTCTAGTGTCCTGTAGAAGCTTAATGGGCAAGTCAATTTTCTCTCGAAAATTGTTACATCACTTCATGCCATTAATTACATATTAGCTGAGATCGGAATCGTAAAATACGGGTCTCAATAAATTTAGTCCACACCTCATAGATAAGTATAGAAATAGTCAGTTATATAAAAAGATAACGTAAAAAAGTACTTTATCCTTTTATATGTCCTATCTTTCTGGACTTTAAAGATCTTTACCGAACCTACCATTTCTATACTTATCTATTCAAGGCACTACTGCAGTTTCTCCCCCGAGAAACTGCAGTAACTAAAAAAATTCATTACCCGATTTAGCTTATTTATTTAATAGTAATTTAAAATAAAATACTCTATCATAATCAGCAATGAAAATAAAATCATTTTTTTTTATTGCTGATTATGATAGAGTATTTTATGCTTATTAAGAATCGTATAAAAACAGTGGTCTAAAAATCAACATAGCTCTAACTTGATGTTGAAGATTTAAAAATAACACTAAAAAACGCTAATATTCTAGGATTCTTCGCCGAAAAACAAATCTTGCGAAAATTTTGCATCTTTATCTACCGTAGTAAAATTCTTATTGCGGAAGTTGCACATGCGAAAATGCACATTCCGTAACGCACTATAGGAAAATATAAACAATAAAATTCCGTAATGAAGCACTGCGAAAGAAAACTTGCGAAACAAATCATTTCGTAAGAATACTTACAAAATTGTTCCTTACAAAAGGTGCATTCCGGAATGTGCAGTTATAAAAATGTAGTAAAAGATTTAATGTTACGATATATTTAAGATATTAACTGTTTACAGGTTAAATAATAAATAATAAAAATATAAATAAATGTTGAATGATTCTTCAAATGTTTATACAAATATACCTAACATATATGAATATATATATATATATATATATATATATATATATACACATATATATACTTACATATATTTATATATATATATATATATACATAAATATATATATATATATATATATATATATATATATATATATATATATATATATATATATATATATATATATATATATATATATAATATATATATATATAAATATATATATATAATATATATATATATATAAATATATATATATAATATATATATATATATATATATATATAATATATATATATATATATAAATATATATATATAATATATATATATATATATATAATATATATATATATATATATATATAAAATATATATATATATATATATATATATATATATATATATATATATATATATATATATACATATATATACACTTAAAATGTATATATCTTTATCAGGGCCGGCCTTACGAATTGCGGGGCCTAATTTAACGAATGCTTGCGGGGCCCACCTGATTTTTTTTTTACAATAATTACTATAATTAAAATTATTAAAACACATTTATTATACAAAAAAACATAACTCCACAAACGAATCAATAAACAATAATAAAAATATTACAATGAATTTAAACAAAACAGTTCTTGTTATTGTCATAATAAACAAATAATCTATAAGTCAAAGTGGATCTTTCTTGCTTTTTTGCTTGCGAAATCTTTTAGAATTTTTTCATAATTAATTTCTCTACTTATAGGAGATTCAATTGATAGGTTAGTGCTATTTAATGTCGTTCATTCTAACATTTCCGATTTTAAAGAAATCGCAGACCTAGAGCTGTTTTTTGGAATGTTATACGCATGCGTTACTTTCATGTTATTTCAAACAACATTAAAGTTTTGAAACCTCGTGGCGCACGTAATAAATATAAAGTATTTCTAATTATTAACTATTCTTTATTGTTTGTTATTATATTGTATGTAATTTTTCTTAATTCGTTTTAGAGATGTAAATTTTTATTAAATTTAAAGTTATTAAATAAGTAATATTTTATATTTATTTTCTTGTAGTTCAACTTATTTTCAATACATTTTCCTAATTCGGGTATTTATTCTTGACTGTAAAATGAATAAAGATAGTTGTTCACTTGAATTAAAACTTTCACAAGGTAAGATCTCTTAAGTAAGGTTGAGGAATCTTGTAATGAGAGTGCTGATTAAAAAATGTGTATTTAACTTTTTTAAGAAACAATGATGGCAGTTGACTCTACTCTTTCTGTTGAAAAGCATTTTTTTGCCACATATCCCGATGTTTGTGCAAAAATTAAAGAGCATGAAATGTTGCACACATTGCATTATGTTGTAACTTGCTCAGGAACCATGGAAAATAACTTTGAAAGTAGGCAAATTAATTTAAGGAGCTAAACTGTGCAAAATCATAAATTACAAATGTTAAACTTCTTCCATTTATATTTGCTTGAAAAATTGTAATGAGTTATATTTTTATTATTATGTTTTAAAATTATAAAAAAAGAATTATTAAAAAAAAGAATTATTAAAAAAAAAACATAAATGTTTTACGAGGACAAGGATTTTCAATGTATGGAGTACCATTTATTGTATCAGCTCTAACAAAACTTGACTGTCAACATGGAAAAGACAGAAATATTAAAGCAAAAGCTCAATACAGACAAATGAGAAATAAAAAAGCTGTATGTACTAAAAAAAATTTCAATTTAGTTCAAAGTATAAATAAGTTTTAACAGAATAATTTAAAGAAATCTTGTTTTGGATTTATTAATATTGTTTTATATTGCAATTTTTAACATCTGTTTTGTCAATTAGTTAATAAACAATGTGAATTTTATTTAATTTTTTTTTTCTTAATGCATAGAGTAGCGATCATTACTGTCAAAAAAGTAGAGTTATTCTTCAGGATACTAAAAAGTTTGATTGTCCTGCCATTGTGTATATAAAAGAAATTGTAGAGTTTCCAGAGTTTAACGTATTGGTATTTATTAGTGTGACACGCTATAATCCTTATGTTCATAAACACATACTCTGATCTTAAACAGTTTAATAACCATTTTCTAGTTTGAAAACCTTATAGCATATTATTTTAATTTTTATAGCTCTTAAGAAATTCTTTACGGTTAAGAAATGAAACATCTTAAAAACTCCGTGTATCCTTAGCTAAGTCAGAAAATGTACATAAGTCCAGAAAGTATATTTTATTATTGCCTGATATTTCTGTTCATTGGAACCATCCAGTTGGTGAGGTCAGTGATGTGAATTTGTTAATATATCTAATAATTTTATTTAAGTTGTTTTTGCTTATTTGATTTCGTTTTAATTTTTTTTATTACTACAATATCTTTTTTTGTTGTTGTAGACTGCAGGAATCAATCAATCTATTTCTGATGATCTCATAGTAAAAATTGGTGACCTGGTAAAAAAGGGTGTCAATACTATTTCTGAAATGAGGCGACATCTAGAGTTTTTTGTTCATGGAGAAATTACTTCTGACAAAACACAAACAAACGTTTCTTTCCAATGGATAAGACAATTCGAAATCATATGCTCAATGCAAGAAGAAAACTTCGTAGTTCTATGATAGATCAAGAATGTTTGCTTGAAAAAATTAGTGAATGGAAAATAGTCTTTCATGAGGCAATAATATAATTTAGACCAAAAGGTGTCAATATCATTGATTATATTGATTCAAAGCTTAAGGATTCATTATTGATCGTATATCAAGACATGTGGCAGAAAAGATTACTCTAACGGTATGGACCTGAACTAGTTTTTCTTGATGCAACATATCGCACAACTAGATACGCTCTTTCACTATTCTTTCAGGTTGTTAAAACTAATATTGATTACCAGGTTGTTGCCATTTTTGTGTGTGAGAATGAGACCACAGACGCCATCACAGAAGCATTAATGTGCATTAAGGAATGGAACCCTAAATTTTAACCAAAGTATTTCTTAACTGATTATTTAAATGAAGAAATAAACTCATTAGAATCAGTGTTTCCAGGTTAACGTTGTTATTCATTTATTGTGTTTTATTTAATATTTTATTGTTATATGATCATTTAAACCAAATCCAACTTGCTGTTTTTAGGGTGTTCTGTTTTAATTTGTGACTTTCATCGAGAGCAATCTTGGGAACGATGGCTTTCTAAAACTGCTAATGGTTGTTATATGGTAAAAGATGCAATTAAGTTAAAACTACATCAAATTGCTCATGCTAAAACAGAAGAAATTTGCCAAAATGCTGTTAATTCATTAAAAGAATCAGAAGAGTGGAAAAATAACCCAAAACTAGCTGATTATTTAAATAGCACTTGGTTATGTAATCAAAAGGTTGATTTAATTTCATTTAAATATAACAAAATTAAAATATTTTCATTTTCGTTCATCATTAAAAAGGTTCTTATTAAGATAATTTTGCATACTATTTACTCTGCGTTGCCAAATTGGCCTCTTCTTAACCAAATCCATAAATCTGACCGGTGCAAAAAATAATCTGCTGATTGCCAACATGACTTTGTTTGGCTTTTTTGTTCCAATATTTTATATTTTTAATTGGCTTAGGATTTTTATTTTATTAAGCGTAAACTAATGTACTTTTCAAATTTTTATATTATTATTGCAATTAATGCCTATTTCATTTATAAAAATAGTTATATAAAAAATTTTAAATTTTAAAGAATATATACTAATATAAACGAAAGCAATTTTATAGATTTAATTATCAACACTTATTCTCTCTGAAAACATAAGTTTTCCCTTTCTTTTGTAACAATTCTTCTTTTTTAGAGATGGGTGTTTGCCTACAGGCGACAACGCTTATTGCGAAGTATCAATACTAATAATGGCACTGAAAGACAAAACCAATCTTTTAAATATAGTTTTTTGGAAAAACAGAAAACATCATCCCTCACAGCTATGCTTTGTATTTGTATTGAGGAATTCCTTCCTCACAATTACGACAAGTTAGTTATTTTTAAGGTAAAACCACCTACTTTGCATCCCTGATCTATAAACACACACAAATGAATATATATATATATATATAGAGAGAGAGAGAGAGAGAGAGAGATCAGGGATGCGTAGTACCAGAGCTTCTTTCTATTTCTTGATATCCCGTGGGTCTGAAAAGAAATAAAGTTCATGTATTTATAGTAGAAAATAAAATTAATACTTTTAGGTAAGAGGAGCAATCATTTTTTGAACCCTGAGTCCTTAGGTAGAATCACAGTAAAGACTCTAAGATAACCTTAAAATGGTTATTTTCTACGATTGAACTTATGCAAATAATATTATACAATAAATTGTAAATATATAGAGAGTCTTTTTCATGGTTGATTAAGTATTGAGACTAAAAGACAAATATGCTTCATCTTACACTGTTCAGAAAAAAAAATTGTTATTAAAGTTTTACCTGTACAACAGAAAACAAATGGGGTAGATTGTGGGCTTTATGCTATTGCTTGGGCACGCCAGGTTCTAGAAACAAATGGTATTCCACCAAGTACTCATATGTTTGAGGAAATGAAATGAGGAATCATCTTTTAAACTGTATACTAAATAACCAGTTAGATGTTTTTCCAAAAGCAATTACCCTAACTATGTTTAGAAGATGCGCAGCAAAGAGTTTTCATATTCCTCTACATTGTTCCTGTCGCATGTTTTGGACCCAAAAAGATGAGCATATTTTTAATAGGTATGTTATCATATACAATATTATGTTTGTGCTTAAGACGATATTACACATACTGAAGGGATATGTAGAAATTTTTAGTTTTTACAAAGGCTATTTATCATAGTGAAGATGAATGTCGATATTAAATTACCACTTAACTTTGGTATGCGTTTATATTATTTATAACACCAAATTCATTTTTAATTTTTAATTTTTTGTTCAGACAAATGGCACAATGTTTTACTTGTAACAAATGGTTTCATCGTGAATGCGAAAGTATTCCACTGTGTGCATATGAGAAAGATGTTATCTGGAACTGTTAGACTGCAGACTGCCAGATGCAAATAACAGAAAGCTGAAGTTTTTCTGTTTCCAGTTAAGGGTTTGCAAAAAAAAAAAAAATTTCTTGTATAGTCAGTTATGGATAAAATATTTTCAAAAATGAAAAGACAACTAAAATCGGTCCTTCAACCGTTACACTAAAAGTTGGGTTTTGAAATATTGGAAAGGTAACCTGTGATATTTAACTTTTTATAAAGGTAACAACTTTTAAAAATATGATCAATTTGTTTGTGTGATGGTAAGTTTATTTGCAATATTGCATGTAATATTAATATTGTAAATGATTATTTGGTAAATGTAAATGATATATGTTTTTATTATAAAATGTTTTTTTTTCATTACAACTCAATAAAGAAAATTATGCTAGTAATGTTGCTACTGGGTATCTTTTTGCATATAGTTTATTAACGGGAACAAAACGGGAATATAACGGGAACAAAAATGAAATGATACTGGGATTGCAATACTTTGGTAACGATAACAACAATCAAATGATACTGAAAATGCATTTAGTTGGTAAATATAACAACGATATAATGTTACTGGAAATGCAAATAGCTTGGTAATGATACCAGCAATCCAGTTGTTGTTACTGGAAATGCATATAGCTTGGTAATGATACCAGCAATCCAGCTGTTGTTATTGGAAATGCATATAGCTTGGTAATAATACCAGCAATCCAGTTGTTGTTATTAGAAATTGGTGAAGTTATGTAATACCGGATAGATGGTTATCAAATTTATACTGGCAATTGTCGTCACTAATACATTGTAAGTATTAATCATAATAACATTAACCTTTTATATTGTTTAATATTACTTTAAATATTTCAAAAAATTTTACATAATCAATTGCAACAAATGGTGATTATGCCACGTATATTTTTTATATCACTGGTAATTGTAGCAGTTTTATTTTTAAGAATTTGTCTATGATAACGCCTAATGTCTCAAGTTTTACGCCTAAATCTCTTAACATAACGAAAACGCAATGTAAACAAACAACATTTTCATGTTTAATGAATAAAGTGTAACAAACACGAATGAAGTTATAACGCACATCTAAAGATACTGTAATATTTATAAAACAAACATTTTTTAAATACATTTTAAACATTGTCTTTGTATTTTTTATATCTTTTTAAAAAAATCTGTATCAATATATGCTGATTAAAAAACTATTCCTAATTTCATATTTTTTAAATGGATTCTTTTAAATCAATATACCTAGTTAAATCTTGAGGCGCTTCTATTACAATGTAAATTTATGTTGCAATTAAAATTTTATCATTAGATCTATTTTTGCTTCTCCATTTAAGATTAAGAAATTGTTTTTATTGTCCGTTTTCAGCAAAGGCCCGAAACTTTTTTCAATTTTACCGTAAAATCTTAAATTTTAGAATATTTGCTTTTGATGTTACATTCCCAATAACTAATATTTTTTACATTCCCAACGACTAATACATTCCCAATGAAGTTACATTCCCAATAACTAATATTTTTTAAGAGAAAATTTGTTTTTAAATATTGATATTTTAAATTCGTAGCACTTGTTTATGATTTTATTTAATTACAACGAGTAGGGCATACCTACAAACACTAACCCTTTCGAAATTTTATAGAGCCTGTTTTTTTTTATCGTTATCGTCATCATGAGCTCCCTATTTTTTTTTTTTTTCGCTTGTTATTGTTTAAATCAGCAGTTAAAAAATTATACCAAGCGGTAAATTTGAAGAGAACTTAATGTGCCCAAAATTTTGATGATATTTCTATTTAGCAAAATTAACAAACTACTTTTATATGCTTTTTTTTATAAAAAACTAATTAAACCGAGATTAGACTTATAGCTGGGTTAAGGCCGTTTTCCACAAGACGAAAAATTTGCGCGAAGCGAATTTTTTCGTCGTTAAGCATGCGCAGATTAAACAGTTTTGGCGATAATACTGATTTTTTTTTTGCTACAGCGTTTCGCTGCAGCGAAAAAAAAAGTCGGATTCTTTTCGACTTTTTACGAATCGCCATAAGTGAAAACCAATGAAGTTTTGAATATTTATCACGTGATGTCAACATTGAAAAAAAGCGAAAACATGTTTTTAAAGTAACAAAATTCTTAACCTGGCGTTCTTATTAATTTTATATAAACTTACGCTGAAAATTGGTAAGCATGAGTAAATTTATCATAAAAGGGGCAAGACTTACATAAAAAAATGACCAGACTTATATATAAAACTAAATCGAGAATTTACTAATATAAATTTTCACACTGTTAATTACGAAAGTTACACTTCATAAGAATGTTTATCTTTAAGTGGCCACACAAAGATAAACCTTTTTGTGAAAAATTCTACATAGAGTTAAACCTGTTGTTCGTTCTTGCAGTAACAGTTTTTAATAGAAATATTCATATCAGAGTTTAGCATTTATTTTCTGATACTTTCTTGTAAAAAAGACCTTATATTAAATGATTATATTACAAAATAATATCACATCTTACATAAAAAGGCAGAAATGTTAATATTAATGCACGGAAAGAAATTTTCACATGCTTCAAAATAGAAAGTATGCTAAAAAAGTAATAACTGCCTTTACTTAAACCTACAGCGTAAACTTATTGCTGCCATTTTTATTGTTAGCAACGAAAAAAAAGTAGCGCGAAAGAAAGTAAGCGGAAATTAAAACAGCGTTTTCGTCATAGCGAAAAAATTCGCTTCGCGCGAATATTTCGTCTTGTGGAAAACGGCCTTTACTGTCGGTTGATTTTTTTCTCATTTAACTTTAGTAATAATTTCAGTTCGTAAAACGTAATTAAAAAATTCCTTGTCGAATTCAAAAAAATCTTGACATCTTAAGGTGGACATTCCTATTAATTCGGAAAAGCTGCACCGAGCAGTGAACGCCTTAGGGATGAATTATAAGTTAAAAAGAGTTTAGCAGAGTGAGATAAAAGTACAAAAGGACAGATGTCCAGTAGAAAACAAAGAGCTTCAAAGTTGAAAAATTTTTTCAAACTGATAAAAGTAAAATGTAGTAAAAAATAAATAAGAATAATAAACAATAGTCAAGGAATGTCATTAGTTGTTGTGCTACTAAACTGTTGTTAGTCCAGCGTAAATGTGATGTATAGATAGAATTGGTAATGGAGTAAAATTATTTGTTTTATAAGTAGTCACCCTTTGGTTTGTATTATTAGTATGATTAACATACATTATAGATATAAGTGTCATGAACGTCTCAAGTACAGTATGGATTCGTGCCTTATGGTGCAGTATGAACACATGAAGACCTCCAGCTTTCATCCGAGACTGGTATCCCAAAAGAAGTTCCACTCTGGGTCTACACGAGGGTGTCTTTTTAAGGTATTGTGTTATCCCAAAAGGACTTGTGTTATCCCAAAAGGACATTGTGTTATCCTAAAACGACTATTCTCAGAATATCCAGTCAGGACGATTACCACAGACTCCTGATTTGACACTGGGACCAGAGGACACTTAGCGGGGTTCAGTACAACTTGCAAACAGTAGTAAGTAGTTTTTTGACTTGAGTGTCCATGTTTTTTAACTTGAGTGTCCAGTGTTTTGTCAAAGTGTGGCATGGGTCAATGAGAGTTGTGAACTGCTTTGAGTTCATTTAGGTATGTGTAATGTAAAAAGATAATGTGGTTTACGTGTGTCACTATTGTAGCAGCATGCCTCAATAGTAAGAGTTATCAGTACAAAAAATAGTTTAAGGTCTTTTAAGTAGATAGTAGTTAGTAGTAACGTAAGCTAAGCGTGATTTTTCGTAGTTCTATGACGTGTTTCTAGAAAATAAACAAACTATTATAACTAGATGATCTAAAATATTAAAATAGAATTACATTAATATAACAACAAAAACTAATATGTTAATTTATTAACTGATAATCTTTATAAAAATTACCACTAATACATAACAATCATATGGAGTTTTGTAAATTCACCGGTTAATATGAGGTTTTGAAAAAGTGTTTGGTATTTTGTCTAAGTAAAAAGAATCACAATGCATAAGTCACGTGACTGTGATGTTACGAGAAGTATTTAAAATGGAGTGGAATTATTCGTTTTATGAAAATCATGACCTGTTATTTGCTTAATAATTTTCATAGTTACTTGTGTCTTAAGCTATCAGATGATGTATGTAGCAGAGTTGGAGTAGAGTGATTTTTTTTTAAGTAGACATCTGATGATGTATGTATGATTAGAATTTTTCGTTTTTTAAGTAGTTATCAGATGATGTATGTAACAGCTGGAGTAGAATTATTCGTTTTTTAAGTAGTTGTCAGATGGTTTATGAAAGAGAGCTGAAGCAGAATTAATCGTTTTTTAAGTATTTGTCAGATGTATGTCACAGATCTGGTGTAGAGTTATTCGTTCTTCAAGTAGTTATCAGATGGTGTATGAAAAAGAGCTGGAGTAGAATTATTCGTTTTTTAATATCCCTGACAGGAGTGTTAGACATGATAGTCAAATTTTTAGAGAATGTATGGTGACAGTAGAAGTCAGTAGTTGTAATAGTTATGGTTAGCTGGAGTTGTATATTAAATGTTATGTATGACTCTAGTAGTATTATATTAAAGCATATATACAAATACATTGAAGAAAATACAAACATACAAATACATTATAGCACCTAAATAAATACATATACACACACTGATAAACAAGATTATATGTGTATTAATGCAAACACATGTGAGCATGAATGTACTCACACCTGTATATGCTCTCACACACATATACATATATATATATATATATATATATATATATATATATATATATATATATATATATATATATATATATATATACATATACATATACACACATATATATATCATTATGATTATATATACAGATATTCTCCAAAGTATCCCTAAATCATTTATATGTATTAATAAATTAACAAATATAGCTTCTAAGAGTACCAGTATAAATATTCGAATGATGAGCATAAGTGTATTGAAATGTAAATGATCAAAATATAGGAGTTTTAATATCCAATTATCCATGTAGTGTCAAGATAACATTCTCATCAGGATCATTAGTTGACATCCCTAATAATTCTGAAATTTTTCAAAATTGGTTTCAAAATTTTTTGCAAATTGGTTTTTTAAATTCCAAACTAATTATAAAACAATATAAATTATTTTTTTAATAAATAAATGAGTATGTACAATTATGTGTTTTGATAATCCCTGGTTCAAAGAACTTCATAAACCGAGTAAAAAAGGTCTTTTATGCTCTATGCATTTCTAATGTATGGTTTTCCGGTTGTTCCCTTGTTTGGAGTATTACGTGAAAATTACGTAATCTAAATATATATACGTAATTTTCATCTATCTACGTGAAAGATTGTTATACAAAACAATCTACTTTCACAAAAATGCAAAAAAAAGATTTTTGTAAGTCAATCAATAAGCATTCCATAGGCCAATATTGGTGGGCTACTATGCAAATACGTGTATTAGCATATAAAAGTTTTAATATTAATTTAAAAAGAATAAATGTTAATTTACATAGGATATAAGACTTTTTCTTCCAGTCAAAAGAGATACCAAATCGGACTTGTACTTTGAAGGCAAGCAAGACATTAAATTAGATTAATTTAATTAACTTATGACATTTAAATTAGATTAATTTAATTAACAATTGCAAAAAATGTTTTATTAGCGTTGAGATCCGTTTTTGTTAATGTTAATTTAGTAAATGTCAATTCAGTGTATTAGAGATCCGTTGTCACTTTTTTGAAAAAACAAAATTGACGTTTTTAAACAACAAGAAAAACTAAACATTTATTTACAATAAACTTAAAGTTTAAATAAGTTAAAATTTTTATGACTATGCCACCCACCCCGACCTCTGCCGCCTCCTCTCATTCTTCCCTTCCAATTAAAGGAGGAGTTGTCAACTCCGTTAATGTTGACCCACTTCCTGTAGGAGCTGTAGGAAGTGGGCCCACGATGCCGTCGACGGTAAATACGATAGCCATCGTAGGACAAATCTAACATTGGCGTAAACAAAATATGTAAGGAATATGTAATGTATGATTTTTAAAGTATCACACTCAAAATAATACCAATACCGTTTGTGGCTTGTGAAGATAACGTTACTGTATCTGAAAAGTAAATGCAAATATTTTAGTTTAATAATAGGATAGTTTATATAGTTTAAATATCTATCTAGTATAAAGTAGAACTTAAAAAACCTTTATCTTCTTCTAGTTGCTTCACACGTAGTACTAAAGAGGTAAATGAAATGAAAAATGATTTAATTTTTTAAAATTGAAGTAAACATGTTATATAAAAGATCACTTTAAGTTTCTACAACAAATAAACGATGACATTAAAAACGTACAGGTATCTTTTTGCAGTTCCACTAAAACAACAAGAAGAAAACATTCATTATAACATAAGCAAATCTTTTGTTTTACAAAAAAAAAATTAATTTTTTTTTATTTTTATAAATATTTCTTTATTATAAATGTAAATTCACTGACATGATATCAAATGATTTAACCAGTGCCCAAAACACATACCAAAATATGTATGTATTAAGTTGCCTATTGCATAAGACAAAGTAATTTGATTGACATATCAAAGACACTTAATTCAAGTGGAAATTGTTAATAGTACTTTTTAAACAATGAGATAAATTATATAGCAATCAAAACGATATGGTCAATAGTCTTGGATACATGCATGTTTACTAAAATAAAAAAACAAATGATAAGACTCAAAAAACAAAAAAATTATTGATTAAACTCACTTAACTGAAGCAGCATTTTTTCTTCAGCTAAAAATGGAATAAAATAGAAAATTACAAAATGATGATACATCATAAAGTATTATCTTAAAAAATACTGCGAAAACAAAAGAGTAATTATTTATTTGTTTTTTTTTTTACCTGACGACAAAACCTCTTCCCTTTTCTTCAATTCTAAAAGGTTATAACAATAATTATAAAAACATTATTTTAAGTACAAAATGTAATTACAAAAAGATGATACATCATGAAGTAATATCTTAAAAAATACTGCGAATAGGAAATTTTATACTTTTTTTGATCCACGTGATCTTGATCGAGTCGGCCCCGACTCTTCTATAACAAAATTAGAACTAGATTACTTTTAACAATCAATGTACATGCAATGAATGATTTGATAAGTAACAAAAGAGAGTAATTATTTATTTGTTTTCTTGTTTACCTGACGACAAAGCTTCTTCCCTTTTCTTCAATTCTGAAAGGTTATAACAAAAATTATAAAAACATTATTTTAAGTACAAAATGTAATTATAAAAAGATGAGACATAAAATAATATCTTAAAAAATACTGCGAATAGGAAATTTTATACTTTTCTTTGATCCACATGATCTTGATCGAGTCATCTCCGACTCTTCTATAACAAAATAAGAACTAGATTACTTTTAACAATTGATGTACTTGAAATGAATGATTTGATAAGTAACAAAATAGAGTAATATTTGTTTTTTTTTACCTGACGACAAAACCTCTTTTCTTATCTTTAATTCTAAAAGGTTATAACAATAATTATAAAAACATTATTTTAAGTACAAAATGTAATTACAAAAAGATGATGCATAATAAAGTAATATCTTTAAAATACTGTGAATAGAAATTTTTATACTTTTCTTTGATCCACATGATCTTGAGCGAGTCGGCTCCAACTCTTCTATAACAAAATTAGAACTAGATTACTTTTAACAATCGATGTACATGCAATGAATGATTTGATAAGTAACAAAAGAGAGTAATTATTGAAATGTTACCTGACGACATCTCAGCTTAATTATTGGATTCTAAAGAATTATTCCATACATTATTATATAGTGAGTAATATTTACATTAAACGTTTCATACAATAGTCTATATAATTCTAAATAAATAATACAAGAAAATAAAATCAATTATATAAAACATTAAATGATTTATTGTTGAATTATTTAGTTCGGTGTTAATGATATCATTATAGTTAGTCAGAAATAAGATCTATAAATTAGGCAATAATTTGCTGTTGTTCTTGGTGCTTTTAGCACCAGTTTCTGAACATATCTAAAGCATTTTTTGCAACCTGTAACAACCTTATGATTGCCATATTAATGATACTTTTGGTGTCACAGATATTGCAAAATGATACTATCTTTTGGATGATGAAAAAATAATTGCATTAGTAGTGTAAGGCACCACGTGAGGCCCTGCGGTAACATACAAGGAACGCAAACCAAACCCAGAGCGTAACTCTAACTTTCAGGGTTGAGATTTGGTAAGGGTATGGGTAAAGGGTTTTCAACAATACATGTTTTGTATAAGCATTTTTTACGGACATACTAAAGGGTGTGCCTGAAATACCCGTCCGCCTTTTTTGAAAATTTACTTTTAACTAAAGAACAAACAAATAAAAATAAAACAACAAATAAATAAATTTTTTTTTTTTTAGATGCAATCAATTTGCACAATACTGTAGCTTATCATTATTTTTATATACTTACATTTATACTACTGATAAATCTTTGCAAGACTGATGCAGTTTTATTGATTTATATATATATATATATTTATAGAACTGTTCAATAATAGATTAGCTGTGCTATATCTTTAAATATAAATTTTCTTGCTATAATCTCTGGATCAACAAAGAAAAGCATCTAGACAAGAGGCCCTCCTTAGTTAATACAAAGGAATTTTGTTTTGAACAGGATTCACACCAGAAAAAACTATTGAAATTCCAGGATTACCCAGGACAATTTTTTTCTTTTACCAGGATATTTGCTTCATTATTTCTAGGACGTACAATATAAAAAGTTTTTATAGACTTTTTTATAGATAGCCCAAAGATAACACAAAATACGCTACTAAATGTAAATTAATTTAGAAATCAAATGTAGAATAAAGAAATATATTACAGTTACTTAAATATAGCTACCAGCACTGGATAACTAAATGTAAATTCAAATAAAATTTAACAAGGAACTATTTTTTATTTGAAAAGAAACTTTTAATGCAACTAATTTCAAAAACATCATAATCATTTCAAATACTCATAATATAAATACGGTTTTAGCAAAACAATGAAACAAAAACTAAAACTCTATAACTACAAAAATATGCTCTTTAACTACATAATTAACTCAAAATATATAACTCATATAACTATAACTCAAAAATATACTCTATAACTACAAAAATATACTTTTAAGATTTCGCAGTGAATTTATAATTTTCATGAATCATCTTTTTTTCTTGTAAATCATCTTTTGATTGTACAAATCCTTGATTTCCTTTTGTAACAGCGTAATAAGATGTATTAGATAGGTAAGCTAATCCGAATGTTTCAACATAACTGGCATTGGTGGGTCCACATTGAAACAACTTAGCAATGATTATCTGGAAACATTTTACAAAATAATTCACCAGAATCAGCTGAAGAATTCATTAAATATTTAGAATAAACAATATTAAGAAGCCAACAAACTTCAGCTTCTAGCGTATATGTATTTATTAGCATTTTATAAATTTTTTTTTGATGTTCTGATTTATTTGAGCATTTTGACATATATTCATTAACTAAAACAGTGTTAGTAGCAGTTGGCATCAATGGCTTGATATTGTTTGCAGAAGGAGATCTCTCTATGTGCTTTTTACCTTGCATGTGCGAAGTTAAAGCAGCTTTTTCTTTGATAGCAATATTAATATCTTTAGTAAAATAACTGAAAATCATAACAGTTTCAGTCTTTTCTGTCAAAAAGCCATTTTAATTGAAAAATACATGTATTTTTAGGCATTTTCTAATTATTTTATCCAAAAACAAAACCAAAAAACATGAACATTTAAGGAGTCAAAAAGAATTTAGAATCTCTAATATTTCATACTTTATTAATTATTCAAAACTATACAACAATGCAATAATTAAATGCTAATCAAAATTATATACATTAACTACCTATATTTTTGATTTATGGAAACCTCTGTGATGATATCTTTTAAACAATATTTTTAAAACAATTTTACCTTATCTAATATTGTATATAATATTCAAAAAGACCTAAACACGAAAAGTCTTACCAATGCTTGTAACTGAAATTTGAAAAAATTTGAAATTTTAATATTGTTTGAAATATGTAAAGCAACAACTGCATAATATATATAATCAATATATATACAACAAATCATATATATATATTTATATATATATATATATATATATATATATATATATATATATATATATATATATATATATATATATATATATATATATATATATATATATATATATATATATATATATATATAATCCAATAACAAGTGCACATAACATTACACTTAAATTATTACATATAATATTACAAAGCGATAAAAAATAGTAAATAATTAGAAATACCTTAACTTTAACTACGTGCGCCACGAGGTTTCGAAACTTTAATGTTGTTAGAAAAAACATGAAAGTAACGCATGCGTATAACATTCCAAAAAATAGTTCTAGGTCTGCGATTTCTTCAAATTCGGAAATGTTAGAATGAGCGACATTAAATAGCACTAACCCAATTGATATTAGTGCCAAATTGTTTAGTCGTTCTAGGTTAATTACTGACCTAAGGAAGGTTTTAATTAGTTTTAGTTTTGAAAAACTTCTTTCACCGGAAGCGACTGTAACTGGAATTGTCATCAGTATTTTAAGGGCTATGAACAAATTTGGAAATGCAGTCGACCTATCATTACAAGCCAAATATTTAAAGAGTTCTTTGGGTTTTTGTTGTTGAACGGGCAGTATTGGCTTAATTGCCTCCATTTCTTCGGAAAGCATGAACCCTTCTATATCTTTTGTATTGTCTGTCAAAGCAATTTCTTGGTCGGCTGAATGTTTTTTGAGATCTTCTTTAGACATATTCTGAAAATTATATAGAAATCCAAAAAGTTTAGGGTGTTCTTTCAGCTGCATAAACCGTGGTTGAAGAGATTGCAATGCTTTGTCTACAACTTGATTGAAAAAATTTACCAGGAATTCTATCTTGGGGTCTAAAATTTGTTCGTCAGAAGATTCATAAAAAAACATTTTTTTTTTCTTGTATCAGCGCTTCTGTTAAAATATGGGTTCAACTTCTAACTCATTTGCAAGCTCTTTGGCATCAATGCAGCTACAAAGCCTGTCTCTCGGTATGTCTTCAACCAATCAAACAATTTTTCAAAAGATGTCAGCCCCGCGGCAATGTCTATGGTATTGCTTTGAAGTTCCTTGCTAGTAAAATTTACTTCAAACAATAAAGAGTGCCAATAACATAGTGCAACCAGAAACCTATAATTTGTCATTTGGCTTACTAATGATTCAGCCTCACTTTTCCCTTGAGCATTTGTGCTTTTTGCTAGTTCTTCTAAAGCATCACACACTTCTGCGGGCTGAAATCGTACAGCTTTAACACTTTCCATTCTACATTCCCATCTTGTTTCTGGTAATTGTTTAACAGACAGGCCTTTCACATGCTTTTTAAAAACAGTCCATCTTTTTGTTGATAAAGCAAAAAGGGTGTAAATACGCTGCAGGGTTTCAAAAAATGTCATGACATCTGAACACGTTTTAGCCATATCTCCTAGAACAAGATTATAATTATGGCACACACAAGGAGTATAGAGAGCTCGTGAATTTCTTTTCAAAAGTCGTTCTTGCACTCCAAAATTGTGCCCTTTCATATTAGCTCCATTGTCATACCCTTGTCCTCTGATGTTTTCAACATCTAGTCCTAGCATTTCAATTTCTTTCACACGAGTGTTAAATAAATTTTCACCAGTGCTGCTCTCAACTATAATAAACTTTATAAAATGTTCATAAATTCCTGCTGGGACATCTGAGTGTGTGCCATCAGACTTAACACCATTGACATCTGTTCCTGATGGCTGATATCAGGAGTGCAGTCAAGAATCACTGCAAAATACTTTGCCGACTTAATTCTAGCAATAATTTCCTGTAGAACAGCTTGGCCTATAGTATCAATAATTTCATCTTGTATGGTCTTGCCTAAATGATGATCATGAATGTCTTTGTTAATAATTTTCTGTATATGATCTTGCATGACTGGATCAAATTTTCCTAGCAATTCAATGACGCCTAGAAAATTGCCATTATGTAGATTTCCAATTTGTTCTTCAGACCCACGAAATGCCAAGTTCCTTTCTGCCAAAAACTGTACAGAAGCAACAAGTCGCTCAAAGACTTGATTCCAGCGTTTTGTTTCCTGTCTTTTTAATTTTTCATTTAATGTATCAACAGTTTTAACCTTTGCTGCAGTTCATAGCAATTAAGTGTACATTGCAAATGCTTTTTTGATTTTTCATGATCCTCTAATATTGTATAAATATTTGACCAGCTGTCAAATCGAGAAGTAGCAAGTGCAGAATCAGAATTTGTGTCAAAAAGTTTGCAATAGTAATAGTAAACTTTACCAAATGATTCAGAATATATTAGCCATGGTCGTTCTATAACTTCCCCATTTTTTAATTTTCTTTGACAGTGAAATTTCGAAAAATTTAACCCTTTTTCCTTTTGCGGAAAATTTTCGACAGTGATCTTAGGGGGTCCTTCGTTCACTAAATAATCTCTGACATTTTGATTTATTTTATTTGGCCATGTAGCAGGGTCATCTTTTATCTTTAAAATATCACATAGTGCTGGGTTTGAATTTTCTTCTCTTGATTCTGAAATATCCTCATTATCCTTGTGTGTGTTAACAAATATATTTATACATAATGTATTTTGTTCAGATGTATTTTGTTGAGCATTACATCCAGAAAAAAAACAAGCTTCTGATGTATTTTCTAACTAGCTTCTGATGTAATTTCTTTAGAAATATTTGTTTCACTGTCGTCTGACTCAACTTGTTTGTCTGATTTTTCAGTTTCAAACAGATCTATTGATTTACTCAAATATTTACCTAACGCACCTTTTTCTTTTTCTGCTTCAGTTTTCTTTACTGTAGCTAAGGTCCTATTCATGTTACCACTTAGATATTTTCTACCGACGTCCCTTTGTCTTTTACTCATATTTTGGCTTGTGTTTTCAAAACTAAAAACTTATCTCTTTTTTTACTACTAAATTGCACATTTATTATTTGACCGATTGCACTATTTGGAGCAATCGGTCAAATCAGCCTAAGACCGGCCCTGATATTTATATTTATATATATAGACATATATATATATATATATATATATATATATATATATATATATATATATATATATATATATATATATATATATACATATATATTTATATAGATATATATATAGATATATATATAGATAGATAAATATATATATATATATATATATATATATTTTCTATCTATCTATCTATATATATATATATATATATATATATATATATATATATATATATATATATATATATATATATATATATATATATATATATTTATATCTATATAAATATATATGTATATATATATATATATATATATATATATATATATATATATATATAACTACATAAATATATATATATATATATATATATTATATATATATATATATATATATATATATTTATTTCTATCTACCCAGTAAGCACAAAGACGTTTCAACGTTAACTGTACGAATTATATTAAGATTGATAGAAATTTATGAAAAAAAACTACTGCCATTTATAATGATATGCTATAAATTGCGGGGCCCCTACCAACCGCGGGGCCCTATTTGGAGCAATCGGTCAAATCAGCCTAAGACCGGCCCTGATATTTATATTTATATATATAGACATATATATATATATATATATATATATATATATATATATATATATATATATATATATGTATATATATATATATATATATATATATATATATATACATATATATTTATATAGATATATATATAGATAGATAGAAATATATATATATATATATATATATATATATATATAAATATATATATAACTATATATATATATATATATATATATATATATATATATATATATATATATATATATATATATATACTATATAAATATATATATATATATATATATATATATATATATATATTTATTTCTATCTATAGATATATATATATTGAACTTTTCGCAAAACCCCTCTTATATATGTCAGATTTTGTCCCCCCTTTCCTCCTTTCAGTAACAATAAGATATGTGTAACAATTCAATTACAATTACAAAATTAAAGTAACAATAAGATATGTGTAAGCACCATTAATTTTTTCTGATTAAATTATACATTTATTTCTCAGCATATTATATTGTAGAACAGTTTATACCTCATCAAATAGTAAACAAACTATTGACAATTTTATTCTATATCTATTATATAAATTCTATCACTCATCGTCTTCCCATGAGTTGTTGAAGTGTTCTTCGATAATAATGACAAATTACTTAATGTGTTTGCTTTAAAGCACATTTTAAAGTCCGCTGGGATCAAATAATGATTGTTAAATTTATATACAATTAGTTGATGTTTGATGTAAATACCTTTAAAATCTGTTCGAACTTAAATTTTTTTTCTTAAATAGACATCATTTTGGTCTCAACACCTCTCCCCATTGACAATTCTTGTCAAAATTTACAGTCCCCCCCTCCCCCACTGACATCATTTATGGATAGCCCCAAAGTCCTACTTATCCTGCGAGATAACGGAATTCTACTGTATATACTCGTTTTTTTTTTGTTGGCATAACGCTTATAGGCTTAGATTTGGAAAAAAAATAAGCACATGTCAGCATATTCATGAACCTTGATAAATTATTTAAAAAATTTTATTATTATTTAATTATATTTCCAACCGATCCAAATATGAAAGATAATGGATTTGTCAAATTCCTCAAGAAAATTTAGTTCCTTTAAATTAAACTACTGTGTGAAAAAAATATATCATTCATACATTTATTGTTTGTGTTGATACAATGAAACGACATAAAGGTTCTGTAATACGTGTTGAGAGAAAAAGACCAAAATTGACACAAGATTCTTACCCATCAATAGTTCCTAACATTTCTTTTTATTTATCAATAAAATTTATATTTACAATAAGAATGAATTCTAAACAAACTCTAAAAGTAAAATAAGTATTATATGCATGACTAATTTATTTAAAAACTATTTGTAGCTGATTTAAAGTAAAAAAGAACTCTAAACAAACTCTAAAACTAAACTAATTATTATATGCTTAACTCATACCTTTTACTTCCTGTTTGCAGCTGATGTATATTAAAAAAGAACTCTAAACAAACTCTAAAAGTATACTGAGTACTATATGCTTGAATCATGATGTAAAATAAGAAAGAATTTTTAACAAACTTTAAAGGCAAAATAAGTATTATATGCACGACTTATATATTTAAAAACTATTTGCAGCTAATGCAAAGCAAAAAAGAATTCTAAGCAAACTCTAAAAGTATACTGAGTACTATATGCTTGACTCATGATGTTAAATAAGAAAGAGTTCTAAACAAACTCTTAAAGTAAAATAAGTATTATATGCATGACTAATATATTTAAAAACAATTTGCAGCTAATGTAAATTAAAGAAGAACTCTAAACCAACTCTAAAACCAAACTGATTATAATATGCTTGCCTCATACTTTTTACTAACTATTTGCAGGTGATGTAAAATAAAAAAGAACTCTAAACAAACTCTAAAAGTATATAGAGTACTATATAGCTTGAATCATGATGTAAAATAAGAAAGAACTTTAAACAAACTTTAAAGTAATCTGAGTATTCTATGATTGGCTAATAGTTTTTACTAACTTTTTGCAGCTGATGTAAAGTGCTAAAGGAATTTAAACAAACTCTATCTTTTGGTGATTTGTTTGATGTTTTAAATGTTAACTGGCCTATTAATATTGACAATATTACGAAATTTGGAAATATTTAAACGATTGAAAAATAAAAAGTAATAACAATTATTAATAATAATAATAATACTTTTAATAACAGTTTGGAACATAATTAAAAACAATTTGGCAACCTGCATACAAATATTACTGCATACAAATATTGCTACTTAATCATTTGCAAAAATGTTTAAAACAGATTAGACAAAAAAAAGTAATAATAAAGTAAAACATTTAATACCAAATAAAATAAAATAATTATTGCACATCATTCTTAAAACAATTTAGCAAAAGCGGCAAAAACAGTATTTAGATTTCATAAACCAAGCCTCTTTCTTGCCAACACATTTATTGTGAAACCACAAAAGGCAGGAATCACACGCTATTGAGCCCCCAATGTTATTGCCCACAGATGCACTTTTTTGGCACACTGCACAAGGCCAAATTTGTTGCTGAGATTTGATATCAGTTATTTCATTAAGCACTTTCCACCCGTCTAAAGTAAAATATGATTGCAGAGTAAAAGAGATCCAAGTGCATTTTTATCAAGTACAGCTGAAGAAATGCAATTCACTCTTTTTTCTATGCAACTACTCTGTATAAGAATGCCAGAAAGAGCTTTCTGGACATCATCTGGTTTCAAAATGAATATTATTAGATTAGCAGGAAACAAAACTTTTGCTTGCACATTAAACTTAGGAAATATCATTGAATAAAATATACTACAAGTTGTAGTCTACAAAATTGGTTGTACATCCTAGCATGTCTTTTAGACGGATGAAGTTTAAAAAAGGTACTGGACCTTAATGCAATTGGCGTTGCTGTTTTTTTGGTAGTCCAATAGTGGTTAAAGTGGAACCTTTAGGACGCCCACAGTGTATAACATGTTTAGGCATTTGAATCCGTGCCAAGCGAGAATCTACAATAAAACTATGGTTATTGAAGTCTAGAAACAATTTACTTAATGTAATACCGATATTATACTAAGCACATAATTACATGAATATTGCAACAAAGCTATAATTTAACCTGCATCTGCATCGCTCATCCCAGATGTCAACACTTCTTGCTTTTTCTGCAATTGGTGCTTTTTCTGCAATTTCAGCTTGCTCTAATAAATAGTTGTTATTCAAAGTTTCATATTGGGCACCTATCTGTGCCACAGATAATTTTTCTTTATTAAGTACTTTTGAAGCTACAAAAATGACTTCACTGTTCACATATGCTGCACATCTCAATGAGTTTATTCAGTAATTGCGTTGGCAACATTTTTAGATGCACTCGTAATAGAAAAAGCATTTGTTGAACAATTACTAGCTGGTAACGTTGATACATCAACACTGACAGGTAAGTCAATTGAACTACCTGTTCCAAATGCAAAAACGTTGTAAAATTAACAGCATCAGAAACAACTAATTTTGCTGGTATTGATGATTTTCTCATTTTTTTAGATGTTACTATATCATTTTCTTCAAGAAGTTCATTAATTACCATGATCTTTCCATTTGCCCAACCTTCACTTAAAGCTCGCAAAAGACTGAGACACTGCTCAAGTGTCTGACCTGTGGATTCAGATACAAAAGTAGCTAGAAGTGATGTCTCTTGTTTTAACTTTTAAGTTTAAACTTCTCATGCTGAGAATACACTTTACTTTTTGGAGCAACATGAAAATCTACAGCTGCACACTTTTCAACCATGACTGGGGTATCAAAGGCTCGTTGATGTCGGCGATAGTACTGTAATGTCCACCTCTCAGAACACAATTCAGTATCAAACAAATTTGTCCCAAGCATCTGGCGAGCTGCAAATATGTGACGACATGGTAAATTCATCGACTTTCGAAACATACAAGAACAAAAATTTGAAGTCACTGTATGAATATCTTCATGGCTGTTTGCTATGAATTTGCCATGTTCTCCGGGTAATAATGTAACTCCGTTAAGCAAGCTCATCTGCTTGAAGATGTTGAGTAGCATACAATGTCAAATATTTTTTATAGGCTGCTTTAGCAGAATTAGGATCTAAAAAACTTTTTGCGTTTAGAAAATTGACTTATGATCCCTTTCATTACGCATAGATGTTAAAACAACATAGAATTTATCAAGAAAGTCTTCTA